CCCGAGTCGCGCCCTTAGCTCCCTTAATTCCTGAGGCGAGAAGTGATTCCCTCAGTATTTGAGACAGCTTACTATGTTATGTGGGGCAATTTAAAGTTTATGCGATAGTAACAGTTTCAATATGAATCGAATTAAAAAAAGAACTGCCTAGTTTACGATATTTTAACAAACGAACAGATTTGCCATGTATTGCATTAAAAAGTATGTTATGTTCTATCGGCAACAGTGTCCATCCATTGCCTGTCATGTCGTCTCATTCTATCGCAAAGATTCACCTATTGAGAGTGGGAGCAAAAACGGAAATGTATAATTAACATTGTGGCCGTGTGTACATAGATACAAAACCAAAACAACCGATAGATAATAAAAATGACTTCTTGACTCAACTCATTTGAGGTCTTCAGGTCTATAAAAGTAAAATAAAAATGCATTCCTGCTATTTTTCCGCGTTTATGAATATCAAAGTGCGCGGATGAATGAAAAACTGGATTGAGCATTCCAGTTGCGGATCCGGGCCCGGTCTTGAGCTGAAATGGAAGATACCCTGAATGGAGGCAAATGAAGCTCAACCGCTGCAAGAAAGAATTAATGAGTCAGGAATTTTCTTAAGGAATCGCGAATGGGTGTTTCGTGTTGCTCTCTTTTCCAATTCGCGGTTTTTCTGCAACGCTGCAGTAGATAGGTACGATATTGCAAGGAAGCTTAAGAAACTTATAAGGTAGAAATAATCTTAGAAGGTAGGAAGCAACGTGTTGAGTTGCATCGTGGCTTATGTGCTTGAAGGTGTCCCTGGGCCTGGGGCGGTCACAGTTGAAAGCTTGTTTAGTTTCGTATTTTTAATAGAAACAAAGAAAATAGTTTATTAGCCGTTTATTTATTTCGCTAGGTTTTCGCTTGGTCCATCAAACCAGTGTAACAAAATTGCACTCAGAATGCTGTCATAGAACTACTGCTGTAGAATAGAACCCAGGACGATCTGTGTCAGCAGTATTTAGTGGTTACAGCACTCTCAGCAAAGAAAAGTTATGGTTGTATCGAAACAATGGAAAAACCATAGCTAAGAAGCCAGAAAAAACTGGTGATAAACATTATAATCATATTGATTGCTGATCATTTTAGAATTAATAATTTTAAAATTAATGTTTTCTTGGTAAATTAAATTTCTTCATTAATTTAATAGTAGACAAGAGTGCATCACCTCAATGGGGCAAATGAGGCTGAGATAGCTGCAGCTCCAAGGAAACGCCACTGAACAAGTCTATAGAAAACGCGCCAGAATTTACTTTAATGAGTTTCAAGAAACGCAGTGTTATTTGTAATTTAATTGCATAGCGACGAGGCAATGACTTAGCAGTTTTTAATCTGGTGTGGCGTGTAAATAGCCACACCAGGCGGGATCTTAATCGGAAGTCCAAATTACGTTTCCCAAATGATTTTGCCTGCAGAGGAGAAATAGTTGGTCCCACTAACCTCTGAGCCAATCTCGGGTCCCCTTCCTTCAGCTCGACCACTGCTGGCACCGGGACACTCCGGGATGAAGATGGATCGGCTTCACTTCCCCTGCAGGGGGTTCGGGTCACGAGCAATTTGGGCTTNTGTCAATACAATAATTTGGTACAATCGAGCTGATGATATTTAAACATCCAAAAGAAATATTGCTATTAAAAAGTGATGGGAAATTTACAATTCTATATTTCGCATATTTTCAATTTGATTTTCCTCAAATATATCACGGAGTTTAAGGCTGATTTTTTTTATACAATTAGATTAAATATCAGACTATATCTTGCAATTAAAAATGTTTGCATATATTAAGGTATAATTGAGAAAAAAAATAAAACCAAAAATCATTAAAATCATTTTTCCTAATTAACTGAATACGTTTACGAAGCACTTAATATGCTTATTACGTGTAGTTTTAAGAGCTCTATGAAGTATTATAACAATTCTGAATTAAATGTTATTAGTTAACGAGTGAGAATATTTTTGCATAATATTGAAGTAAAAAAATAGGTAACTTTGAATTTTTATACCGCGAAAACTACTTGGAATTTTCAAACGGGAGTTTTACTATCATGTTTGTATAACTGAGCTCTATACGTTTCATCAAATCAGTGAGAATGTCCGTTTATACAGTCCCATAACACACTGTGCGATATTATAGTTTGAAGCATATTTATCTTGTTATTTAAAAATACTTTAATGGAATTCGTAGCAAACAGTTTTTTATACGGATTTTAGTCATTAAGAAGTAAACAAAAATATCACTTTTAGAATTAAACTGAAATAACACTCCAAGGTGATATTATTTAAACATTAATTAGATCACAAAACTAAACCTTATTAATGGGGTACAATCCTGTAAACGTGTAGCAGAAAGCACCTGGATTCTGGCACTACTAGACCGATCGATGTGGAAATCCTTGGGCGAGGTATTTGTCCAGCAGTGGACGTCATTTGACTGAAACGAACGAACGAATCCCGTAAACACTCTATTTTCGGACTCACACGAATTTTTGCTATCCCATAGGAACCTGAGATCAACGTGTCGTAGTAGTTAACTGACCTGTCAAAGTGTGACTCAGACCCGGGCTACGTCAAGATCCAAAACCACCTCACAACTCCGCTTGCCAAGTCTATTCTTACGAATAACAAATTCCACAACCCGAAAAATCAACCGTGTCAGCGGGAGGAAAAGTTCAATTTCTGTTGCTGCTGAAGCCCTGAAAGCTTCAAAGGAATTCGAATTTTAGGTATTCAGTTTTAGAGTATTAATTTGGGTTGGTGGTAGAAGGATATGTTTAAATTGAGCTTGTATCGCCAAACGTCACTTTATAATAGGATGTAATCGAATGTCAAGCGGTGAAAATTCTGGCAAGTTCTGGTTACCTGTGGATCATCCTTCCTACCAAGGTGTGCTGTCAGGCTTCATGAGCCTTCATAAGCTTCTGACTTGGCTCTATCAAATCGACTGCTTGAAGTAACGAAGCTATGGAAGTTGATGTCATTAATTTGATGATAAATTACTCTCTTTATGTCAGTTCCCCCTCATCAATGACCCCCTTTAGCTGAGCTTGGCAATCCTTATGTATGTCTGCTTCTTGTCATAGTTCTTCTTGTATGGTTGAAATGGGATTTTTATTATATCTATGTGTTCGACATGAAAATATCAAAGTCATAATATTTTTTAAAACTTATACATAATTAGGTACTTTGAAATAATCTAGGTTAGGCCAAAGAAGAATTTTCTTACACTATGACTCTATTAGTAATAACTATTTAGTACTGACTTTAATTTATTTTGATAAGGAAAGCATCTGAATTCCGAAATGTTCCAATTAAATAGATCACTATTGTTCCCTGATAGACATTAATGTCTAATCTATGTCAATCTCAACCAAACATAAAAAGTACCAAGGCATTATACGTAGAAAATGTTTCCAGTTGATAGCAGATCATGAATGGAAAATTATATAAGTTCGTTTTAGTTCCTTTCTGGAACTTAGTTAAGTCTCTAAACTAAGAATTATTCAATAAACTGTACAAATTTGGGAATGTACTGAAGCTATCACAAATTCAAGTACCACATTATTCTCATCATCATCTCAGCTATAGGACGTCCACTGCTGAACATAGGCCTCCCCCAACAATGCTTTCCATGTTGCCCGGTTGGTAGCGGCCTGCGTCCAGCGCCTTACTGCTACCATTATGATGTCGTCTGTCCACTTTGTGGGTAGACGTCCCACACTGCGTTTTTCGGCACGCGGCCTCCACTCCAGAACCTTGCTGCCCCATTGGCCGTCAGTTCTGCGTACTATGTGCCCTGCCCATTGCCACTTCAGCTTGCTAATCCGTCGGATTATGTCAGCGACTTTAGCACATTATCTACGTGCACTATTTCTAGGAATCGTTGCACTGTCCTATATAAAAATGACATGGTCGAGGACTTTTGTACTTTGCTTATCTACATTACTTAAGCCTTAGGAATATCTTCGCAATGTCGCAAAACAATTGACATTTGTTTATTATATACAAATTATTGTGCAATCGGTGTGTAATATGTTTTTTCACCTTCGGAAAGGGACTGTGGACTGTTACTAAAAGTTTCATCACTTTTTTTATAGAGTAACCTTGCTCCAATCACTTCCCTATCACTCATCCATTCGACATTCTTATGTACAGTTTCAAATAAAATTACAATGTCTAAATTAAATTAAAGTATTATGAAATAAAATTAAAAATACTAATGCCCGTACTCACAAATATTACTATGAGGTCTCACAGTGCCCGTGGACGCACAGGGTCATACACGAACCAATCACAGAGCTCTATTCATCGCTGTGCGTTAGAATTTCTGCTTCACCTAAGCAAGCATCGTTTGTAAATACGGGTGTAAGACTACAAGTGCTACAACTTCCTTTAGAAAATTCTAAACGTAGGTAGGTAGATATATTGAAATTGTTAACTAGATGCGCCTTAAGCTTCGTTGAAAATAGCACTTATTGAAATAACTTACAATGCTATAGTGTCCATAAGCTTGATATGCCATCGCAGCTTAATCCATACATCGTTATCTTAAGATTTCATTGTGTGTAAATCTGTCTTTGGTCTTTCTTCAACTTTATTATGATTCTAAAATACAAGTATTTATAACTAAGCCAACATATCTGATAATGCAGATAAATATAAACTAATTAGTTGCTATTTATTAAGATACATAAGCTGAAACTAATTGCACAGTATTAGCATTCCAATTGTATGCAATATATTTGCTACTCTCAGTTCTTTGCCAAGACCATATTGTGTGCGCGACGGCTGTACTAAACGCTTCTGAAATTTACGTTTTCATAGAAACATAGTTAAATTTGCTTGTGATTTCGATAGATAGAATACAGGGTAATTGAAAGGAGAGCACAGTAAAATAAACTGTGATTTGGAATAGAGTTCCAGTGACTTGTTGTATTTTTATCTCAACCTTTGAAAATGCCTCATCAATAGTTGGTGTGGCGTGTAAATAGCCACACCAGGCGGGATCTTAATCGGAAGTCCAAATTACGTTTCCCAAATGATTTTGCCTGCAGAGGAGAAATAGTTGGTCCCACTAACCTCTGAGCCAATCTCGGGTCCCCTTCCGTCAGCTCGACCACTGCTGGGCACCGGGACACTCCGGGATGAAGATGGATCGGCTTCACTTCCCCTGCAGGGGGTTCGGGTCACGAGCAATTTGGGCTTTGAATGCGTAGATGGTTTGCGTAGATGCGTTGTGCGTTATGATGCGATTTGCGGGAGATAAAAGTGCGGTTTTTTCACTCGCGAGACTGCGAAGATGTGCGTTGCGATAAAGATTTTACGGTGAAGTGTGTCAAAGCTTGACGTTCAGAAACGCCAAGAATGACCACAGAGATGTGGAAACCAAACAGTTTTCTACCTGCAGACAAAACTATTCGGGAATTAAAAATAAGAATAAAACTGCGTACATCTGCGTAACCATACTCCCCGCCTTGGAAGTTCGCAGAACCTTTCAAAAAACTTACTAATGTGAACTTAATACGTTGCAATCCTTGCAATGCAACGGTGTAAATTCAAAGAAGAAAAAATAAATCAAAAGAACTCAGACCTCGAGTCTAATAACTTAACAATAAAGAATTAAATGCGTTAAAGTAAAATATATTATTGCGTAGGTACTGGGTACAACTTCACGACAGGACGTTTAAGGTTACCATATTTGGTCCTAACCCTCGCTACGCGAGTGACACCATCTGTACCAGGGTACACCTCAGAAATGTTAAAAGTTAATTAAATGTGCTAGCCTTATGTTCAGGTAAATCAATACATTCAGTAGGAGAAAAAGATGCGAGAGGCCACTCCGATGGTAGCGATTGCATCCATGTGGGTCCTTGCCACCATAAATCGTTATTAACGAGGTGAGAAGGCAATAAGCCTCTAGAGAGACAGTCACTCGGATTCTCTTCTCCTCTGACATGATGAAAATTATCTGGAGGTATATTCTCCTGTATTTGCGCGACTCTATTGCTCACGAACACCGACCATCGATGCGGTGACGAGCGTATCCACGACAATGCGATCGTAGAATCAGAAAATGCGTATATATTTGCGATAGGAATGCGTTTGCGGTAAGTATCAGCCACAAGTTTTACTAACTTGGACATTAAAAGCGCTGCGCACAACTCGAGACGCGCGAGCGTTTGAATTTTTGTAGGCGAGACCTTTGATTTGGCACATAATAATCTGACTGTTATATTTTCCTGATCTATCGTCTGCAAGTAAACAACACAACCGTAACCATTCATACTTGCGTCGCAGAAGGCAACGATATTCACAACAGAACTATCAGAAACCCCAATATGACGTGGAATTTTCACAGTGGAAACCAAGGGTAGCTCTTGGATTAATGCAGAAAAACGTTGTACTATTGTTTTGGACGGTGTATCGTCCCAGCCTGCGTTACTAAGCCAAAGCTCTTTAATAAGCAGCTTAGCGTATAATATAACCGGAGCTATCAAACCGAGCACATCGAACAGGCGGGCCACAACCGAAAGAATATTCCGTTTTGTGCATTTCTCAATCATCTGAGATGCTTTAAAATGGAAGGAATCATTTACTGGATCCCATGAAAGACCAAGGATCTTAGAGGAGACATTGTTTCCTTCTGAAAAGTTTATAGGACTCTGGTGTGACTCAGGGAGATTCTCCAATAACGTACGAGAGTTGCTACACCATTTGACTAAGTCAAATGCACCGGACTTGAATAGCGAGATCAATTCTTGCGCCAAACAAGCAGCAGTCTTCTCATCAGGAACAGAATGAACGAGATCGTCCATATAAAACTTAGTCTCAGCAATACTAGCTGCGATAGGATATTCTGTGCTCAAGTCAGACGCTAGCTGTCGCACAGTGCGCATAGCTAGGAATGGACTTGATTTAAGTCCAAATGGGACGCGGTTGAACCGAAATGTGCGGATAGGCTCATTGCCATGAAAGCGATACAATATCTTTGAATATTTGCGATGGTCATCAATAACACCAATCTGCAAATACATTTGTTTAATATCAGCCGTAATGGCTATTGGAAAAAGTCTAAAATCAAGTAATAAAAGAAACAGATCGGCCTGTAAATTAGGACCGACGTGAAGAACGTCATTCAAGGACACACCAGTGTGTGTCTTCGCGCTCGCATCTAGTACTATGCGCGGCATGGGTTTGTCAGGTCTCACGACGGCGTGGTGTGGAATATAATATCCCTCATCAGCGTTATCCGAAGTAACCTCAGACAGGTAATCGTTATCAATGTAATCTTGGATCACCTTATTATATTGCTCTTGCAACGAAGGATCCTGTTTAAACTTCTTTTCCAGGGCCATAAATCGTCGCTGGGCGGGAGTGCGTGAATTGCCTAAGTTACTAGGATCTTTGGAGAAAGGTAAAGATACGCAATATCTACCGGTGTCATCTCGCGAGACAGACGATGCGAATAAATTCTCGCAGATCGTATCTTCCTGGCTCAAATAACCTTTGACCGGTAACTCCTCTAATTGCCAAAACTTATGCACCATTTCATCTAGCGCCAATGCTGAGAATGAAGTTGCCATATTATTAACACCTTGACTACCTCCCATGAGCACGTAACCAAAAGCAGTAGACAAAGCTGGCGGAGCTTGTGAGCCAGAATCCACTCGATTTCCCAGATAAATATACGGAAATAGTTGCGCTCCTAGAACTAGGTCTATATTACCAGGCACATTCCAGGTAAGATCCGCTAACGGCAAATCATTCAAATACTCCATGTTACAATTCTCAATAAAGTGCGAAGGCAGTTGATCAGTTATAGAATCTACCACTAATGCCTGTATTCGGTATTTATTGTTCAAATCAATGCGCGACTGAATCACCATGTCTACGTATCCACGTATCGGCCTAGATGATAAACCAACACCCTTAACATATGAATTCGTAAGTGGAATAACAACTAAATTCAGAGATTTGCAACACTCGACTGTAATCAAATTGTTCTGAGAGCCATTATCTATCAAACATCGAATAATGCGTTTATAATTGTCAGCATTAGGCTGCATGGCATACACTTGCGCGGTTGAAAGTAAAATTGTAGAGGTAGGCTTTAAATTAGCGCTAAAAGACAGCGAAGAACCGCCTTGTGGTGGCTTCTCATTCGAAGCTGCGCTCCCCGCAGTATGGGTAAGCTGCACGGGTTCGCGACTCACTGCGCGCAATTCCGGGTTCGAGTCCATTGCGGCGGAATGAACCGGTGCGGGCGTGCTCATGTGCACAGCATGCGTATGCGTATTTTTGCGAACATCATCATTACTCGTCTCAAAATGCAAAAGTGTATTATGCTTCTTACCGCACTGTTTGCAAACTGACGTGGATTTGCAATTAGTTAACGTATGCAATGCGCTAAGACAGTTGACACAACTATTTTTGGATTTAATAAAATTAAACTTCGCTTGCGGAGAACTTAAACCTTTGAATTGATTGCAGTTGTAAATTCTATGGTTGCCATCGTTACAATATAAACAAGAGCTGTTACTATTATTTGCGTTTGACATAAAAGATTTATATAAAGTCTCAGCTGGTTTGTTCGAGCTGCGTGCGTTCGACTGCGAATTCGAACTATTGAAGTTATTAGAAAGTGTCAAAATCTTAGTTTGATCTTGCATGAACTTTATAAAATCATCTGAGGTAGTCAACTCCTTATTTCTTACTGAAAATTCAAAGGCGTGAGCTGTTTGCCCATCAACCTTGCGTAGGGCACAATGGAGCAATATGAAATCAGTCAAATCCTCTATATCTAACTGTTTTAAAGCTGCGACCGAAGAGGCATATCGTTGTATGAAAACATCCAAACTTCCCGCAGATGATGTACAAGTTTTGGAATCTAAGATGTTGCTTAAGTAATGGATGCCTAATCGACGTTTGTCCTGATATTTCTTTTCCAAACTGTCCCAAAGTACGCGATAGGTATCACCAGTCGGAATTATGCCTGCTGTAATTTTCAGGGCATTATGCGTAAGTTTCCCTACCAGATACTGCACACGCTGCGAGTCAGTCAGCTGGGGATTATGATGTATATTGGCCTTGAAGGATTCATAGAAAACCGGCCATTTTTCCATGCTACCATCAAATGATGGAATGTCAATCGGTGGTAATTTGATATGCATATGCGTTTCAACCGGCTTCGATGGCGCGGCTGAAGAGGCACTCATCTTGTTCCTCATCCGTTTTATGCGCGTGTATAAATCCTCAAAAGCTATCATTGGGCTATAGTCAGGCATAGCCGATGCGTTTTCTAACAGACTAAATTCGTTAATACTGTCTATAATAGCCTCAAATTTGGAATGTAATGCGTCAATAGATTCCGACTCGATCATGAAGTGTTCGTTTGACCGAGTATCCACAAATGATGTCACTTTTAAAGAAAGCTCGTAAATGCTATTAACCTTTTGAAATATCGCGTCTTTTTTTGCGTGAAGAATTTTCAATTTGCGTTGAAAATCCTCCATTTTGCGTATTATAAAAGTGCGTAACAAAAAATAAAAATATTAAAATTAATTTGCGAATAATATGCGAAATTGCGAATATGCGAAGTTGCGAACGTTCGGTCCAAAATTGTACCCAGAATAACCTCAGGTTCCTTAACCGTACCTATTGAAATTATAATGCGTAACAATAATGCAATAAATCCCGAAAATTATTTCGATAAAATAAAATCGTACCTAATTTGAAAAATTTTCCAAAGATGTCAGACAGATGTCAAAATTCGGAATTTTCTAGAAGTTTACCAAAATTACGTAAATTANGGGACCAGTGCAGTATTGAATATTTTTTAATCAAGTCATTAAGTCTCCACTGCAGGAGTGAACTGGCCAGAATGGTTAAGGAGACGTGATGCTCGCATATTTGTGTATTGTTCCATAGAATCGAGAGCCAAGGAACGTGGTTTGGTCCCTGCCGCCGCTTATATTGTGGGTAGGTAAGCCAGAACTTTACGAGTGCATAAGAATTCTTTAGCATACCACGAGGGGTAACCTGATGAGAATTAGAAATCATAGTTGAGAATATTTAAATACCTACGGAGAGCTCAGAGCACTAGTGAGACCTTTGTGACCTACTTTAAATCTTAGTAGAACTACTTAAACTCAACCTCCACTTCTTATTTTTCATTGTAGGCCAACCTGTAGACCCTGGCTATACCTATAGGAGTTGCAGTGATGGAAAAGAGAGTGGAATTATGCCCGTTTTCACCATCAATTCCTAATTTTTAAGTGACCCCTATGAAAACAACATTGATGGTGAAAACGGGAATCAGTCTCATAATTAAAATATTGGTAACATTGTTACGGCAAAAACAAATTATCCTTTAAATTAAGATTAATATCAGTCGATTCAATTAGTGTGATTACAATTTAATGGCTTTCTCATCTCAAATGACTTAATCACTACTTTGACCTTAAATTAACAATAGTATTGGTAGGAAGTGAGTTACATCTTTGCCAATATTTCCGCCTTATTGTAAATATCTGTATGTGTATAAGATTTAGCACAACTAATAATTAATTTACAAGTTATTTGTACATTAAAATCATTGAGCATTTATTTTGTACCGGAATCATAAGGAGCAAAAAAAGCTTTTGAGGTAGAGTCATATTTCCCATTCATGACGGTGTTATGGCGTAATTAATTACGTTCGTTCGTTCGTTTCAGCCAAATGACGTCCACTGCTCGACAAAGGCCCCCCCAAGATTTTCCATAATGAACGGTCCTGCGCTGCCCGCATCCAGGCTCTTCCCGCGACCTTTACCAGATCGTCGGTCCACCTAGTGGCAGGCCTGCCCACGCTACGTCTTCCAGCCCGTGGTCGCCACTCGAGAACTTTCCTGCCCCAACGGCCATCGTCTCTACGAGCTATGTGCCCCGCCCACTGCCACTTGATTTTAGCAATTCTGCGAGCTATGTCAGTTACTTAGGTTCTCCTGCGGATCTCCTCATTTCTGATTCGATCACTCACACAATTCGATCACACAAATAATTACGTACTTTATGGTAATCACAGATTAATTACAGGTACTAAAGAGAAAAATGACAAGGGAGCGTGGCCGGTGTCGCAGCAATATGCCCAAAAACAGAACACATTGCTCATGACAGCAATGATGACAGCAGCGACGTCATAATGTAAACAGTTTACATTGCTTGCGTAGTACTAAAGGTTATTCGCACGTTGAGTACTGATACCGCAGTGGTTAATGAGCACATATTTTGATTTCTTTATGTGTGTGAATTTCTAATGCGACACTGAGTTTTGAACTCAGCGCATTAGTTGGCATCTCTCTGTATCTGTATGGTGGTAATACATAGCTTTGTCCGGTGCCAGATACTATTCCTAGTAGGGTCATATACAAAAAGTCTCACCCAGCACTGCATTAAGAGTTAGTCGCCTCAAATATGCGAACACCAGGCCTCCCCAACCCGTCTGGCCAGCGTGGGGAGTGTAGGACAAATCCTCTTGCCTCTGGTAAATTAGAAGGTCCAGTGGTTTAGGCGTAAAAAGGTAATGCTATGGTCTCTTATTAAACGCTATACGGCGTACGTTGGAGGGAAGTCGAACCTTAACTCCTTCGATTAATTTTAATATGTATTTGTATTAGTGTGCTCTTATAAAGGGTTTAAAACTATTGTACCTACAGTCAACAGTACATCAGCCTATACATTTTGTTGCAAAATAACACTTAATACATCGTAATAAGATGCCACATTATTATGATTGATGTGCTGTCTGTATAAGATTTTAATTAAATACTGAAATCTTAACTCATTGGATCTATCTCACTGAGGAATGTACTATCATGAGTAGAGTATTAAAAGGATGCCAACGATTTCAAATTCACCCTGTATATCGATGACAAATATTAATGTAGGTAACTAAACTTTTGAAAGATGTACAGGATGCATTATGCTAAACATCTGTCAAAAAAATGACACAGGAATGTGATTGGTGTATCGTTCGTAAATCTAAAGGTCAAGGACAATGGCTACATGTTATTTTGGTTCCTTACTTGGTATTTAGGCGGAATTATCTCAATAGACATACGTTTATTGAACAAAAAAAAATGTTTGCCAGTCATCACTTCTTGGGTGTGTTGGCACGCCCCTGTGAATCAGTTACCTAAATCTAAACAATACACATATTTAACTAGCGGCCGCCCGCGATTTAGTGCGCGTGGACCCCGTTTTACCCCCTTAGGGGTTGAATTTTGCAAAATCCCGTCTTAGTGAGCACCTACGTTCTAAAAGGAACCCCCATGCAAAATTTGAGACTCCTAGCACTTATAGTTTCTGAGATTTCATGATGGGTGAGTGAGTCAGTGACCTATCGCTTTTATATAAATAGATAATGCGAATCAAGTCGGACTGACGACCTTATAAAGATAGAGAAAGACGCTGGATGCAGGCCGCTACCAACCGATTCATATGGAAATATTTGGGGAAGGCCAATAACGATAATGACGATGTAACAACATCATCGTAGCATAGGCAGGCCTTCTACACGGTGGACCGACGATCTAGTGAAGGTCCTTGGGGGAGGCCGTTGTCCAGCTGTGGACGACTTCGGCTAAAAAGAATGGGCGGAAAGACATTCGAAATTTTCTGACAAGGGAGACTGACTTTCTTCCGCCACTTCTTCTCAGCACCAGCCTACATGTTGTCCCGAAGTGGTGGTAGGGCAAGCTGCAATTGACATCCATTGAACCAACTAGGCTGACTCACAAGTTAATTTTTCCCCAAGGGTGGGCATTATGCATAAATTAAAAGAATTGAAGCCAATTCTGTGGTTTTACCTCACTCGCCAACAGGATATGGGAAAATATTTTAATAATGCTACTAATTTCATAGTCTGATGAACAAGACCAGTCAAATTAAGTATATTATGGACCATAAAGATATCATAGACTCTAAATGGACGCACTAAAAGTTCTGAATTTAGTATTTTACATAAATCTTTAAATTTTTGCGATCAGCTTTTGCTCACGTGAATTTCTGCCTGTCACATATAGACGTGTGTCAAAAACCGGAATACAAACTAGGTATCCTATGTTCCTATGTATGAAATAATGAATAAACATAGATTAAAGGACAATGTTCGTTCTCCATACATTGTTCGCCTAAAGAACCAACAATTTTGACATATTACTACCCGAAAGCGAAATAATACGATTCTGTGTGTAAGAACAATGATTCCTGATGGACACTTGCCATAAAATTAATGATTAAGAATATTAAATCACAGCGATTTTATAATATGTCGTTTATGACAACATGGCGTCTAATGTATTGTGTGAATGTATGAACACCGATTCGCGAAAAATGTTTTGTATTGTCGTCACGCCGAGTCGCAGCCAAATAGTATAAAATAATAGAACAAGTTTTAGAAATACAACTCGGCATTCCACTTTTACAATATGCCCACATATTGCACGTAAATAAACAACATGAATCGTAGGTTGTTTCCACCCTTGTCATCTGACACATGAAATAAACTCCTATTGTATTATAGATATCGAAGCCGAATCGTATATAATAATAGAATGGGTTTTGGAGATCACTCGGGGTTCCACTTTTATAAAAAGATACGCAATATCTACCGGTGTCATCTCGCGAGACAGACGATGCGAATAAATTCTCGCAGATCGTATCTTCCTGGCTCAAATAACCTTTGACCGGTAACTCCTCTAATTGCCAAAACTTATGTACCATTTCATCTAGCGCCAATGCTGAGAATGAAGTTGCCATATTATTAACACCTTGACTACCTCCCATGAGCACGTAACCAAAAGCAGTAGATAAAGCTGGCGGAGCTTGTGAGCCAGAATCCACTCGATTTCCCAGATAAATATACGGAAATAGTTGCGCTCCTAGAACTAGGTCTATATTACCAGGCACATTCCAGGTAAGATCCGCTAACGGCAAATCATTCAAATACTCCATGTTACAATTCTCAATAAAGTGCGAAGGCAGTTGATCAGTTACAGAATCTACCACTAATGCCTGTATTCGGTATTTATTGTTCAAATCAATGCGCGACTGAATCACCATGTCCACGTATCCACGTATTGGCCTCGATGATGAACCAACACCCTTTACGTATGAATTCGTAAGTGGAATGACAACTAAATTCAGAGATTTGCAACACTCGACTGTAATCAAATTGTTCTGAGAGCCATTATCTATCAAACATCGAATAATGCGTTTATAATTGTTAGCATTAGGCTGCATGGCATATACTTGCGCGGTTGAAAGTAAAATAGTAGAAGTAGGCTTTAAATTAGCGCTAAAAGACAGCGAAGAACCGCCTTGCGGTGGCTTCTCATTCGAAGCTGCGCTCCCCGCAGTATGGGTAAGCTGCACGGGTTCGCGACTCACTGCGCGCAATTCCGGGTTCGAGTCCATTGCGGCGGAATGAACCGATGCGGACGTGCTCATGTGCACAGCATGCGTATGCGTATTTTTGCGAACATCATCATTACTCGTCTCAAAATGCAAAAGTGTATTATGCTTCTTACCGCACTGTTTGCAAACTGATGTGGATTTGCAATTAGTTAACGTATGCAATGCGCTAAGACAGTTGACACAACTATTTTTGGATTTAATAAAATCAAACCTATCTTGCGGAGAACTTAAACCTTTGAATTGGTTGCAGTTGTAAATTTTATGGTTGCCATCATTACAGTATAAACAAGAACTGTCACTATTATTTGCGTTTGATATAAAAGATTTATAAGAAGTCGCAGCTGGTTTATTCGAGCCGCGAGTGTTCGACTGCGAATTCGAACTATTGAAGTTATTAGAAAGTGTCAAAATCTTAGTTTGATCTTGCATGAATGTTATAAAATCATCTGAGGTGGGCAACTCCTTACCTCTTACTGAAAATTCGAAGGCGTGAGCTGTTTGCCCATCAACCTTGCGTAGGGCACAATGGAGCAATATAAAATCAGTCAAATCCTCTATGCCTAACTGTTTTAGAGCTGCAACCGAAGAGGCATACCGTTGTATGAAATTATCCAAACTTCCCGCAGATGATGTACAAGTTTTGGAATCTAAGATGTTACTTAAGTAATGGATGCCTAATCGACGCTTGTCCTGATATTTCTTTTCCAGACTGTCCCAAAGTACGCGATAAGTATCACCAGTCGGAATTATGCCAGCAGTAATTTTGAGGGCATTATGCGTAAGTTTCCCTACCAGATACTGCACACGCTGCGAGTCAGTCAGCTGGGGATTATGATGTATATTGGCCTTGAAGGATTCATAGAAAACCGGCCATTTTTCCATGCTACCATCAAATGACGGAATGTCAATCGGTGGTAATTTGATCTTATGAGTATGCGTTTCCGGTTTTGATGACGCGGCTGAAGAGGCACTCATCTTGTTCCTCATCCGTTTGATGCGAGTGTATAAATCCTCAAAAGCTATCATTGGGCTATAATCAGGCACAGCTGATGCGTTTTCTAACAAAGTAAATTCGTTTATGCTGTCCACAATAGCCTCAAATTTGGAATGTAATGCGTCAATAGATTCCGACTCGATCATGAAGTGTTCGTTTGACCGAGTATCCACAAATGATGTCACTTTTAAAGAAAGCTCGTAAATGCTGTTCACTTTCTGAAATATCGCGTCCTTTTTTGCGTGAAGAATCTTCAATTTACGTTGAAAATCCTCCATTTTGCGTATTTATGAAATTATAAAAGTGCGTAACAAAAAATAAAATTATTAAAATTATTTGCGAATATGCGAAATTGCGAATATGCGAAATTGCGAACGTTCGGTCCAAAATTGTACCCAGAATAACCTCAGGTTCCTTAACCGTACCTATTGAAATTATAATGCGTAACAATAATGCAATAACCCCGAAAATTATTTGCGATAAAATAAAATTTTATAGGTAATCGTAATTTGAAAATTTTTCCAAAGATGTCAGACAGATGTCAAAATTTGGAATTTTCTAGAAGTTTACCAAAATAACGTAAATTATATGAAAAAATTATGCGAAAATTACTGATGCTATCCAAGCTGAAGGACCACAAAACTATGGNCTTTAACTAAGGTGGACCAACGACCTCATAAAGGTAGCAGGAAGGCGCTGGATGCAGGCCGCTACCAACCATGCGATGTGGTAGTCATTGGGGGAGGCCTACGTTCTGCAGTGGACGTCCTGTGGCTGAAATTAATGTACCTATTACGGAACTATCCCTACCTTTCGTTCCCACCGCTGCAACTCCTGTGTAGCCAGGATCTACAGCTGGACCGCCAATAAAAACCCAACCAATGAAGGTCAAGTTTGTCCCGGGGGAAAGTTAAACTGTCATTGGATTCGCAACGAAATTATTCAGAAGAACATAGGAGGAGCTTTAGAATGCACCTAAGCTTTTTCTAAATGTCACTTTTTTATCCTAAACAAAACAAGCCAGATCAAGAACCGCTCTAGCTTAGAGATTATTACAAAAACTATAAGACTCTTTCCTCGCTGTCAGTGTTGAATATGCAACAAATATGATAAATATTTGTAATATTATTTAAATACCTCCCACACTGGCGCCAAAAAATTTTTGCTACCATAATCGTTACACAAATAACTAAATATTTGCCGAACCTTTTCTAAACGAGTCTCGACGCCTACTTCGGTTTGACAGAAGCCTTATTGGGGAAGACTTGTAGGGTGTATTTGCAATTACTATTATAAGCATAACGCCGCAGCATATTATAAAGGTAGCAGGAAGGCGCTGGATGCAGGCCGCTACCAACCGGACGATGTGGAAATCATTGGGGGAGGCCTATGTTCAGCAGTGGACGTCCTGTGCCTGAAATGATGGTGAATCATCGTTCTTATTTGATCTAGAAAGGCAAACGTTATGTAATTATCTCAGGGGTATTGTAACAAAGTTTACGTAACTTGAGTCATTTGACCCTGAATCGGAGGATTATTTTAAGGATAATGTGACCCTTTCACGTTCTTTGGAGCATTATTAATAAGTTGTTTGTAAATCGATACTAATTAAATGCCTAAATAGGCATCTTTAAATATAGATTACGCTTGTGTTGACCTGATAAAGGTAGCAGGGAGGCGCTGGATGCCGGCCGCTACCAACCGTGCGACGTAGAAGTCATTGGGGGAGGCCTATGTTCAGCAGTGGACGTCCTGTGGCTGAAATGATGATGATGATGATGATAATGTGTTGAGGTTTTGGGAACCTACCTACTTACACTTTTGTATACATGGCAAATAAAAAAAAACCATATCTACTTACCAAGTTGGTTGTTCTTCTCATTAATTTCGTAGCGGGTCCAATGACAGTTTAACTTTCCCCCAGGACAAACTAGACCTTCACTGGTTGGGTTATCATTGGCGGTCAAGCTGTAGATCCTGGCTACACAGGAGTTGCAGCGGTGGGAACGAGAGGTGGGAATGGTCCCGTTTACCAAGTTGGAAGCTAATCAAAAGGTATGTTATTAGCTCAATACTCATTTAGTCTCCATTGCAGGAGCACGACCCCCTCTAATTTACCAGAGGCAAATGGAGTAGGATAGGACACATACCTACCCACGCCACGTTGGCCCCACGGACGGGTAGGTTGGTTCTAAGTTATAGCACAGAATAAGAATAAGTACTACGTACATAAGTTTTACTTCGAGAAGGTATTTAAAAAAATGTATGCTCAATGTCATTAACAATATGGTGTAATTTAGCTTGTCTCAAGAGTCAAGCAAGTTTGTCAGAAGTTTTGTTGACAACGTCAGTGATCGGTACTGCGCCGAAGCTATAGGGCTGACTTCGGTAAAATGATGTGACGTGAGGTGCCAATCTGCAGAAAATGGCGGAGGAAATACATGATTTAGCATGAATTATCATGAATAATATTAACTACTTATGTTTTTATTATTATTTAGGCAGTTAAATACTGCACAGTATTTAGTACACAATTTTCTTTGTTTTTTTCCATCATACACAAGAATACGCTTGCGTGAGTCAATGTTCGCTCGTATGTGAGGCCTTGTCGAATAGTACCTACTCTTGTAGGGGGCAATCGTGCGTGTTTTGTTTTCGATGTAAACTCGCGGAGATGAACAGGCCTGGTTATAGTTAAGTTCTAGCCAAATACATTTGGCTCTAGGTTCGGCTAGAAATCGAACTTCTGTACTCCTTTAAAAGATTGTTTTCTACATAAAAACAATTGAAGTAAGTAATAACGTTTTTACCAACAATCCATTACAAGTACTTTTCTACGAAAAATGACGGTGCCAAGTGACATTTTATTTGCCGAATTCCAGAATTCGATTGGTATTAAAATACCAATGTAATATTTACACTGGCCAGCCAATGATTGTCAAAAATTTACATATTTATTATCTGGTTTTCCCTATTTAAGTTTAGTAGTTAAGGAACGTATTTTGGAAGCATTCGAAACCAACTTGAAGTGGTGTGCGAAACAAAGAACGAGCGATATTGATTTCGACTACTCGAGTAATAAGTATTTATTTGTAAAAACATCTAAAAAAATACATCTCATAAAAATCTTTCTTAACTAGGTACCTAGGTATGTATTTAAAGCAAATAAAAACAGAACACAAAAGTATTAACTTGGGTAATATACTCCAAAATACAGAACCGCTTAATTGAGAGACTTCTTTCTTTACATTTCTATTTTTGTTTTGATTCCCCAAAGTTTTTTTTTTGGCATAAATTTTTGTTATTATCTTATTATTGGAACAAGAAATATGGATTCACATACGAATTGAAATTACGAGTGATTCATTAATAAGTTCACAGCTATTTTATGGTAAAAGGCGGGCTTCATAACATTAAACTGCGGTAGCGCCTGGCGATAGTGACTCATACGTTTTGGGAAATACCACGGTTTAACTTTAATAGTTACTGAATACAGCTTACGGATGGTAGCGGATGTAGGTACTCGTAATAGGGAATAACTCTGTTTCACATGATTATTAAAGTAAATACCCGCCCCCTCAAAAAAAAAATGTTTTTGATACACATTGAACGGATGCAATGGATTAACTATCATCCAAGTCATTTCAGTCTCCACTGCAGAGCCCCGATTACGGTAATATTTAACGTCTCCAATCCAGACACGCTTCTCGATTCTGCGATACGATTGGTCGTTCAACAGCGTACGTCAGCTGTTTTGAACAATCGTATCGCAGAATCGAGAAGCGTGTCTGGATTGGAGACGTTAAAAATTACCGTAATCGGGGCCCAGGAATCTAATTTACTTAGAGGAAAATGAAGAATTTATCCTACACTCCCCACGCTGGCCAGACGGGTTGGGGAGGCCTGATGCTCGCATATTTGTCCCTTAGTCACCTCTTACGACATCCACGGGAAGAGGGGGTCCTATTTTATTCTACCGGAACCATACTAGGGTAGCAGGTAGTGCTAAGTAGGGCAAAACGAAGGTTTAATCACATGTTATGCAAACACCTAAACGTTTTATTCCTTAACTAAAACAATGGATATTTAAATTAAATGGTAACGAACTAAATAAGGCGGTAAACGCAGCATGAGGTTACTGACGAAAATGTAAAAAATAAGCGAAAGCAACGACACCTACGGGTTTCTTTCGGTGTGATTGGTAAGAGTGTGGACTTAAGTTAATTTTACGTTAAAATACTCCAGACAGGTTGTACGGAACTGAAAAGTTGCTTGATCGTCATCATTTCAGCCACAGGACGTTCACTGCTGAACATAGGCCTCCCCTAATGATTTTCATAATGACCGGTTGGTAGCGGCCTGCATCCAGCGCCTTCCTGCTACCTTTATAAGGTTTATAAGGAAAATCTGCTATTCATATTATAGCAATTAAGGGACAAATATGCGGACATCAGGCCTCCCCAACCCGTCTGGCCAGCGTGGGGAGTGTAGGACAATCCTCTAGCCTCTGGTAAATTAGAGAGAATCGGTCGTCTTACAGTGCCTTACAGTGGAGACTAAGTAAATGACTGAATGAATTTGTAGTGTAACATTTTGATACTTTTAAGTGTGTTTTAACCTAATGCCGTCTAGGTACTGTAGGGCAAAGGCCTTAGAATATAAGAAAATCTCTACAAGATGTATGGTCCTATGTCCCCTAGATGTGGCAGAGGGCGTCCACAATTGTCCTCCATCGCGTTCGGTCTTGAGCTTCGCGTTTGATCTCGCTCCAAGTCTTGCCCATTTTCTTCGCCTCGTCTGCTACAGTGTTTTCTTGGAGCGACCACAAGTGGCTGATTCAAAAATAGCAAAGTTTAAAAAGTTCTTAGTTTGTGTAGCCCTTTACATGGGTCCGTGACATCACACGCGCCTAAAATGTAGAGCTTATCCTGATTCAGCGCAGACGGATTAAACCGTGGAAAAAACGTAATTGTTTCAAGAGTTCCGTATATTTCAGGTTTTTATTCATCACCAGCTTTCCGCCCGCGGCTTTGCCCGCGTGGAATTTTGTCTGTCACAGAAAAACTTTATCGCGCGCGTCCCTGTTTCAAAAACCGGGATAAAAACTATCCTATGTTCTTTCCCGGGACTCAAACTATCTCTATGCCAAATTTCATCAAAATCGGTTGCGAGGTTTAAGCGGGAAAGCGTAACAGACAGACTGACAGACAGACAGACAGACAGACAGACAGACAGACAGACAGACAGACAGACAGACAGACAGACAGAGTTACTTTCGCATTTATAATATTAGTTGGGATAATTTCAGCCATAGGACGTCCACTGCTAAACATAGGCTTCTCCCAATGACTTCTATGATGACCGGTTGGTGACGGCCTGCATCCAGCGCCTTCCTGCTACCTGCATGAGGTCGTCAGTCCACCTTGTGGCTGGGAGGTAGCTCAGATAGGTCCCCATAATTAAGGGTCCGTGGCCGAGTCCCCCAGTTT